ACCAGTGAAGTCCACTTCTTATGGGGAGTAGCATCCGTCCCGCGCCCACCGCCTCTGCCCCGGGAGCCCCAGCCCAGGGCGCACGATCTTGCTGCGGCGTAGTCGGCGCCCTTGGTGGGCAAAGGACCCCAGAGGTGCGAGGCAGAGTTACCTCTGTGAGCCCGGGGCCAGCACCCAACAGGGACCTGGTAACTGAAGAGCAAGCGGCGACACGTGCTGAGAGTCTTGACTGTAAATAATACAATACTTTCGGGGCGTGGTGACGCACGCCTGGATTCCCAGCACTGGGAGGCTGAGGCAAGAGGATGGCAAGTTTGAACCCAGGCTGATTCGCGATTTAGTGAGACTCTTAACTGAAAAATGGGGTGGGTGGGGTAGGAATGTTCCTCATTGCCCCAGCAATCCCAATCAGAAGGGGAAAAGTGCTGAGGGGCGGGTCTGGGAAATACTGTAAGAGGAGGGCGGGTGAGTATAGCTCCTTGGTTGAAGAATTATTCATCACTGTTGAGCACTCATGTGCTGGTGAGAGAGGACAAAGAGCAACTGTGCCTTTCCAGCTTCTAGTTTGGCAGGTGGAGGGGCCATCAGGTAACCTGGCAATCGCACTTGCCCATGTGGCAAGTGACCCTGTATCTTGGTGGTGGGAACAGTGCAGAGGAGCTTCCGCAGCCTAACTGCTGAGGAACGAGGATAGGTGAGGACATTTCGGTAAAGACCAGCGTTAGGGGGCAGAGAAGGGAGGAAAGGCCAGGAGTTCAGGAGGTGCAAAGGAGGTGGCAGTGCCTTACTCCCACCTTTTTCTGTTAAGGTTTTGAATCCCAAGGGTAGTGAGGAGCCCTTTTGCAGGTAAGCAGGGGAATTTTCATTTGCATTTTAAAAAGATGCCCCTGGCATCCGTGTTGGAGGGAGTGGAGGGATAGATCCAGAGGAAGCTGGTCAAAGTCTTCCAATCAAGATGTCTGTAGCCAGACCAGGGCTTGGGCAACAGGATGGAGAGCAGCAGGTGCACTTGGGAGAGATTTAGGAGGTGGAATGGGCAGGATTTGGTAGTGTTTGGTCTTGAAGGATCTGTTTGCCTTTTAGAAGATGAGGTGGAGCCAGGTTGGTGGTGATGTGACAGAGAAACTGTCACAGAGAAACTGTGACAGACTGAGAAACTCAGTGGGTGTTAGGGAAAGGAGTTTCTCAGTATATTGTGGTACTGTGTGTGTGTGTGCATTGTTGTTGTTGTAGGAGATGAGGTCACAGGGGTAGGTGCAGGAGGAACACAAAGCCCCTGGATATCAAGCAGAGGAGTTAGGGTCTTATTTTGCAGTGCTAAGGGCCAGGAGCTGTTGTGGTGTGAGACACCATGGTTCTTACAGCCTGGAGGCACCAGCTTGGGCACAGCGGGTGTTCTGGGCATTGACTACCACTCCAAGCTCAGGAGCTGTGTGATTTGACTCCAGGTCACCTGCAGGGTGAGTCTGGCTCCTGGGGTACAGGTGCCGATGGTAGAGCCTTCTCTTCTCTCCACAGACCTCCCTCAGCATGGGGCTGGAGACCCAGAGGCTGCCAGAGGCCGAGGAGGCTCCTGTGAGGGTGGCCTTGCGTGTCCGCCCACTGCTGCCCAAGGAGCTGCTACATGGCCATCAGAGCTGCCTGCAGGTGGACCCTGAGCAGGGTCAAGTCACCCTTGGGCGGGACCGCCACTTTGGCTTCCATGTGGTGCTGGCAGAGGACTCGGGGCAGGAGGCTGTCTACCAGGCCTGTGTGCAGCCCCTCCTGGAGGCTTTCTTTGAGGGCTTCAATGCCACCGTCTTTGCCTACGGTCAGACGGGCTCCGGGAAGACGTACACCATGGGGGAGACTAGCGTGGGTGAGTGATCTGGAGTGTGGCCCTGTGCCCACTTTTAGGGTTTTCAGTGTCTTCCTAGATTTTTGCTTCTTCTCCCTGTTTAAGGTGAGGAGTGCAGATTTCCTGGACAGAGGAAATTCCCTGTTCAGGGGAGAAGGCAAGCCAAAGGCACTAATCTCTCGGTTCTTAGGGATAGGATGGTGGGAATGCTCACATCATGAAAGGAAGTGATTAAAGTAGGAAAGGTGTCTTCCAACTGTTGCATTCTATAATTTCCCTGCCTGCGCTGGAGCATGCCCGGCTCAGGCTGTCCCTCCCATGCTGATCTCTGCTGCTGTCCTCTCCATGTAAGAGCCCTACCCCTAGCTGCTAGCAGAAGCCTAGGGGCCTTGGGCCACATCCAGCTGAAGGCAGGGTGCCAGGAGTCTTGTGGTATCTCCTCAGCCTCCCTGCATGAGGATGAGCAGGGCATCATTCCGAGGGCCATGGCTGAGGCCTTCAAGCTCATCGATGAGAATGACCTGCTGGACTGCCTGGTGCATGTGTCCTACCTGGAAGTGTACAAGGAGGAGTTTCGGGACCTGCTTGAGGTGGGCACCGCCAGCCGGGACATCCAGCTGCGGGAGGATGATCGTGGAAATGTTGGTGAGGAAGCTGGGGGTCCTAGTACCTGGGAGTGGGTGGGGCACCTGACTTGAGGGGGCCTCATGCTCACTGAGGGTGGCTCTTCGGTGTGGGAGCAGCACCTCCCCAGGGAAACCAAGCCCCAGATGGTTGGCTTGTTTCCCCTGCCTCCAGAGTGCAGAGAGAGAGGGATTAAAGTGGGCAGGGGGGACTAGAGCTCTCAAGCACAAAGCAGGATGGACAGGACCCTCTGAGCATGGAGAGGGGGCCCTGGGGTCCAGAAGAGCAGGCAGAGCCAACCTGCTGGGCCAGCCTCCCTGGCTGGTCATGCCAGACTGCCCCTTTCCTCTGTGCCCACAGTGCTGTGTGGGGTGAAGGAGGTGGACGTGGAGGGCCTGGACGAGGTGCTGAGCCTCCTGGAGATGGGCAATGCAGCGCGGCACACGGGTGCCACGCACCTTAACCGCCTCTCCAGCCGCTCGCACACAGTATTCACGGTGACCCTGGAGCAGCGGGGCCGGGCCCCCAGCCGCCTGCCCCGAACTGCAGTGGGCCAGCTGCTCATCTCCAAGTTCCACTTTGTGGACCTGGCTGGCTCAGAGAGGGTCCTGAAGACAGGCAGCACTGGAGAGCGACTCAGGGAGAGCATCCAGATCAACAGCAGCCTGCTGGCGCTCAGCAATGTCATCAGCGCCCTGGGGGACCCTCAGCGCCGAGGCAGCCACATCCCCTACCGGGACTCCAAGATCACCAGGTGGCCGGCCCACCTGTCTGGCCTGGGGGTGGTTGCTGTTGAGCCTGCCTCTAGGGGTGGGTTTCTCCTGACTTCTGGGCTGCACTGGTCTGTGCTGTCCCAGGTCTGTGTACACAGGGAGCCATGTCCAGGATTGCCCCCACCCCCACCCAACCACTGGGTTACCGAACTGGACCGGGCCTTTGGCACTGAGCTACATCCTCAGTCCTTTATTTTTTGTTTTGAAACAATTATGCTCTCTCTCTCAGAAATTGCCCAGAGTAGGCTTGAAAGTGCAGTCCTTCTCCCTCAGCTTCCCAGAGTGCTGGGATTATTGGTGTGAGCCACCACATCCAGCCAGAACCCTTTTAGGTTTGGCCCTGGGCCGGGCCTGGTGCTTGGGGCCCTGATGCATTTCTCTCTCGCCCTCAGGATCCTCAAGGACTCTCTGGGTGGTAACGCCAAGACAGTGATGATCGCCTGCGTCAGCCCCTCCTCTTCTGACTTTGACGAGACCCTCAACACCCTCAACTATGCCAGCCGCGCGCAGAACATCCACAACCAGGCCACGGTCAACTGGCGGCCTGAGGCTGAGCGCGCGCCGGAGGAGACGACGACCGCCGGGACTCGGGGGCCACCTCGGCACCGCTCCGAGACTCGCATCATCCATCGTGCAA